AAGTACCATCTGAGCGTAATAAAGAAGTGGAGTGACGAACTTAGGGCAAACTCTGATGACTCGAAAAGACGCTACTTCGTCGGTTTCAAAAAACTTGAATGGTATGACCTGCTACTGAAAAATCACTCGCCTCAAACAGCTGAGATGGGGAAGTCTGCGGAAGAAAGGAGGGGGTTACTGCGCCCTAATGTTAAATCTGGATAACTCGTTCACTCCTATATTTTGAAGAGCAGTAATGAATATTTCGATAGCGCGCTGAAATTTCGCGCACTTTTTGCTTTTTTTCTTGAATTTTTTGGCACCTAAAATGTATTAGATTTCCAAGTTCTTAGAGAAAAAAAGAAGTTATCGGGCATGTTATTCGCTTCAATAATTACATGAAGCGATCGGGATTTCCAGATACAAACATAAGAGAGAAGTTGTGTGCATGTGCTGCTATACTGAATAAAAAAGAGGAGGCAATTTTCAATCAAAGTAACAGTGTAAGCCATGCAATAATGTACATCAGTCCACCAACTGGTGTATACTTTCTCAGGCACTCGTTGCCGGTGATGCTGTAGTGATAGCAGCTGCCCGAGAATACCAGCATACCGCCCAGGAACAGCGATGCAGTGAGCCACGGATAGCGTGCATTCACGGCACCCAGCAGTGCCACCGAGTGCAACAGATGGTACCGGTTGCCGGTATCAAAGGCACGCATACGTCGCTCATCAAAAGTGCCTGCTTCTCGAATTGCATGTGCCCCGTAGGCACCAAGCGAAATTGCCAGTGCCCCGGACAGGCCCGCCAGTCGTACCACCGTTGATTCGGACGTAATAAATCGCACGAAATCGGAACTCTGCAAGAAAATAAAAGGCTTCTGTCCGTAGGCGCATTCAGGGCGGTTTCCTAAGGGAACAAGGGGAGGGGGTGGGAGGGCGACAGGTGGTAATGAATAGAGTTTTCTACAGTAAAACAGCTCCTACCTGAGCTCCTGGAAGTGGGGAGGCAAAAAAACCTCCTGGATCTACCAATGCTTCTGTCACGGGTGTTGCGAAGCTTTCGAAAGCCTGGCTTTTGCGTCAGCAACAATTAATTATTATTATTTCATCACCGCATCAAACTGCACCACATTTTTCATCGCACATATTTTCAAGGAATAAGTTAACTCCTACCCGTATGGTGCGTTCAGTTTGTGTTTACAGCTAAGGGATGAAACAACGGGGACTGAATTCTAAAATGTCTTCTTGCATATGATACTCGGACTGATACGTTTTGTTCCCTTATATACCGTAGTGTGTTAATAAATTGTAAAATTCGATTTACATTTGCTCATTCTTGTGATTTTTCATGATGAACATAAAAAACGTGAAACGTGCAGTGCAGTTTGCTAGGGGGAGAAATCCGGATTTTATCAGAAGTACCAGTGCGACCGGCCCGTCTAACTTCGCTGCGAATCAGCACTGTACGGGAAGGGAACCACAAATTAATTCCCGGAAAACGAAGTTTTGGACAATTTATGTGGCGTACACAGAGCGGCCTCATTTTGCTCATGCATGGTCCCATTCGTCGTCAAATTTGCTAGATGCCTGACTTCATCCCGACTAAAGGAAAGAAGCAAGAGGCCACGTGAACGTTTTGAAAATTAAGGACATCGCAGTACCAAACGGAGTAATAACGAAAAAACCAAACTGCTAAAACACTGGTTAACGACCCTCTCGAGATTTGAGGATTTATTCCTCGCAACGAATTTTTTTTTTCTCTTTCTCCTCCCCTCTCCCTCCGCCAACACACACCACCCGTACACACACACGCCCATACACACATAAAGGTTCTTCGAAATTTCCTTCTAGCAAATTAGCTACATGTCTTTTCAATACATGGCGGGCAGGAGGCTGTACTGACGATTCCCACTCCTACCCGCATGTTTACAGCTAAGGGATGAAACACGGAGACTGCAGTGAAAGGTGATATCTGAAAGATATGGTAATTTACATCATAAAAGAACACCTTACACATGGCTTGCGTACAATCTTATTGGTCTATTATTCCATAGTCTACTTGATACTGGCTTAGTTTTTGAGCATTTAGGCTGAATTACACGAAATTTAAAACGATAAAAAAAATCGCGAAAACAGTTACCGCAAATGATTTGCCGGATTTGGGTGTATAGATGGAAGTAGAGACGGCACTCGATGTTTTGGGTGGAAAGATCGAGTCGAACAATTTGATAAGCCGATCCATTTTGCTTTCTTTTTCTCTCCCTTTTGCTGATCAGGAAAAGTGTACGGCGTCTGCTGTCAACACAATCACATCAAAGAATGCACCTGAAACGAAATCCACTCCTCATCCGATCTCGCGCTCTGTATTGCATCGAATTTACGGACTGATTATGTCCCGGGAAGGAGCGTTGTCATCG